AAGCACACACTGAAGCCGGGTCATGGGGAGCGTCTCCTCACCCAGCACCCCCAAGTCCTACACTCAGGGCTGCTCCAGCCTCTGCCCAGCCCGTCTTTGTGCTGGGGATTGCTCAGACCTTGACGAGGGTCACTCCTCCTGGGAAGGGGCTGTGCCCGGCTCACAGCTCTGCGCTTCCCTTCGTGCCTTCTCCCACGACGACTCCCATTCCCCTCCAAGCCCCGAGCCCCCAGCGAGCAGTGCAGCAGCCACAGCAGGGCACAGGCTTCCCCGCACTCTGGCCAGGCCCCAGGCCCAGAGGGCTGGTGTAAGGGCAGAGGAAAAGCTGCCCTGTCCCTGCTCCCCTCTCACCCCAAATAAGATCAGAGGTCACATGTGCACTATAGAATATATTATAAATTATACCATGCATCCATTAACAAAATATACAAAGCCAACAGAGAGATCTCTATCTTAAGCCTGAGCATTCATTAGCTAAACCCTACTAAAAATTAACCTAGGGAAAACAGCATTTCACACTTCCCCTTTCACGCTGCCATGAAGTTGTTTCTCCCCAAAGGCTGTAGTGTTTCATTCACACACAGAACACTGCATCAGTCCAAGTATGAAGGTAGACACAGAAAGAGCACGTGTCCTGCTGGGCACTCCAGATCAAAGCAGATACCCACTCCACGCTTCAAAACGCCACCGGCTACTGCTCTTCCTCCACATCCTTCCTCCTCCTCATTCTCGAGTTGGCAGCAACCAGTATGCACAAGTGCAGGTGAGAGCACCACCAGCAGTTCCAAGTTCCACGGCCCCAGCAGACAGTCGTACTGGTGTACAGAGGAGGGAAACACTGCAGAATAGTCCTACTGTATTTCAAAATAAACATTTACGAGTATCTCCCCCACGATCTATAAAAATAGGTTTAAAACAAAACTGGTATAATACACTTTATTTTCTGCACTTATTTAATCATCTCTTATCTCTAAGGGTATCATGTCTTTTAAAAAATTACTACTACTGATCACCTGCTCAGTCACAATCCTGACAGTGCTTCAGCCACAGGGTGACACAACAGGAACACCTTGATTCGAAGTAGCAGTAATACAAAATAGTTTAGGATCAACGGTCTCTTCCTGCAGCAAGGAAAAGTCTGCTTGAAGATAAGAACATAGCCAACACTGCTGTCACCTCCAGAGGGACCAGGCTGAGTCGTCACCTCCAGATACACCACTGCACAGCAGTGCATGTTGCTGGTCTCCCGTGATTCTTCAGAATCAAATCTCTCAACACATTTAGAAGGGAAGTCTCAGAGTTCCAAATTAAATACGGGCATCTAAGCCAGAATCTTGTGAGCGAAATGGATCCTACGGACACATCTGTGGAAGCACAGGAGCAACCAGACCCATCACAGGATACTGCACCCATAAAACTGCTCCAGTTAATGCCTTGTTCAAACCGAAACACAAGTCCCACAGTCCCTGCCTCAAGCACTCCTCCTGGTCCTAACCACCACCACAACTTGGACTCCAGTTCAGGTCTGGGTTTCTACACTTCCCTCGATTCTTCTATGTGGTACTAAGCACGATGAGAGGTTTGCACTATACTGAAAGAAAACTTTTAACGTTTCCACAAGAAGCCTGTAGAGATTCTTCCAAAGGCCTTTCCTTCCCTCACAATCCATTTAAACAGAACATTGCACATAGGCTGTATTTCCCCCTAAGAGATATGCTTTGTGCTATCAGTACTAGAGCTGGTTCAATTGCTGCTGGTAAATTCACTCTCCTGCTTCATGCTGCTACATTCTGGTATTCTCAGGTCAACAGTGATTTCACTTTCAGACTTTCCAGAAGTTGTTTGATGGTTTAAGATGGCTTTTGTGTATGAGCAACCTTGTTCTCTACAAATCATTTGTAAGGTTTAAGTCTGTCACATTACTATCATGCACTGGACAAATCAATTACTAAATCGTATCAGAAGGAACAACTTACTAGTTGTGGGCATCTCTTGTAAAATTAGGCAAGACTACATTTTACAGCAGCATTTTGCATTGGTTCCTAGTCCAAAGCTTGTTAAAAGTCAACAAAACAAGTTTCCAGCTGCCTAAAAAAGAAACATCTTAAACGTGATAAGAGAGGAAGTTCTCATCTAGGTGGAAGTTTAAGTAATTCTACAGGATTCCCTGATAAAAGGATTTGGTATGAAATTAGAGACTTATAAGACTACTCATGAGGTCTAACTGTGAGGTCCAAATCAAAGGTGAAATCCTGGTCTCCAACTCCTAAGATGCTGTGACAAGCACTGTTTGACCTCTCCATGAGAAAAACAAGAAGTCAAAAGCTCAAAGAAAAGCCAAAGCTGTAGTCACAGCTCCAAAGGGAACGCAGCTGAGGCACAGCCTGCTACTGCTGTGGTGCTCTGGAGAGTTCACTCCACGAAGACGACTCCTCCCTCCACCAGGAAGGTTCAGCACCTACCACTGTACCAGTCACTGTTCCCGAGCTGAAGCAACTCAGTTACCACTTGAAGCATGTTATTATTGTGTTTCTTCAGCAGCCGGAGGTTTAACTGCCTGTCACAGAACCCCATCTCAAACAGGCTGGACAGAAGAGCGGCAGTGTGCTCTTCTGTAGCTGCAGGCTGCTGGAAACAAAGGAAGATAGGCTATAAAAAGAGAATTTTTGCCATTGGAAGCATTATACTGGAATATAATTAAGGCATAGAGGCCCTTTTGTCTGCAATTAAACTGTTAATATTCACTGTCCATTACGAAAAGGTGAATTACTGCCCTTCCACGAGGCTCTAAGAGACATGTCCCCATGGCAGGGATTTCCCTGCCTCCTCATGAAGCAGCACACTTCAAAGGGATGCCACTGAGCTGAACATTCTACTGTTGCATGAAGTCCTATATATAATCTCAATACATTCATGAAACATACAGCTGTAATTTCAAAGTTGGCATTCTGTGAAACTCCCCCAGCATAAACCCTACACTTACCTGTTCTATAGTGGGTGGTCCAGCAAACAATGCTTTGTAGGCAGAAGCAGCAACTGACAAAGCACCTTTAACAAGTTCTCCTGCAATGCTGCTTCCTTGAGGGTATCTGCAGAGAAAGAAGTCAGCCCTTACTTTAGGGTCAGTAAAGCCAAGTACATGCTCCATGTGAAATACAAGTTCTTGAGGAGAGAAAAACCATGATCCAGAGGAATTACTGGTGTCTGGGGGCTGATCTATGTGACACATCCATTCAGGTCAGAGAAGCTTCAAGTCACTTAGTATTCCCCTCAACGTTTTATCTTGCTCCTCCAGTATCAGTATCTTAAGATGCTCAGAGATTATTTGTAAAATCTCTATTTTAAGAATCCCAAGATGTTCCAGAAAAAACCACTTTTAGAAGGGTTTTTGAAGGGTTCAGCTTGACCTCTTCATACCCTCCTGCCTGCCAGCTCTCCATCCTTCATACTCGTGCCTAAGTAGACACCAAGATCTTATGACAATACAGTATTCTATAATTCAGCATGTGTTTCCTTAAAGAAGGGAGGCCTGTCTGGAAAACAACAAGTGAAACCCATCAGCCAGTATTTTTTCTAGGTGCCTAATTTAGCAGTTCTCAGTTTAAAACAGCACTTGTGAAGTCACAGCTTCAGCTTCATTACCTTGGGTATTCTGAGCACTTCCGTTTACTAGTTAGAAATCCAGAAGACCCTGGTCCATGACTGTCTTCACCACTGGGTTCTGGAAAAGGAAGAAACAAATATCATTTCCAACATGTCCAGTAAAAGAGAAGTTGAAGACACACAGTATGTAGATGAATGGAAAGGAGTGGTATTCAATCCAAAATTAGTACTTTCACATTTAGATATCCAGACCCTAACTGCATTCTCACTGCAGTCAAAACAAGCAAAAGAGTTTCAGAAGTCACTTGGCTGATAAGTTGGTGGGTGTTTACTTTAACATGAGACAAACCTCAGCTCTCAGTGATTGTAACAGCAGCTTAAATACACAGCTCATTAGTTCCAGAGCGAGGTAGTTTTCCAGGTCTCTGAAAGTACTTCTGAGTCCCATCCTACCATTCCTAATGAAAAGATACTCTTCACTGATCCACAAAACCAACTCTTTCTTTAGTCAAATCCTCTATATAGTAAAATTTCAACACCCAGAGAAAAAACAATCATTACTTGGTAGATTTTTGCTCTCCTCAAGACTACCAAGATACCAAATGCACTTCTAGGCATAAGAAATAGGCGATAACAATAGGATGCACCCTTCATAAAGTACTGTCAATACCTTCTCTTATTTGATTCTGAGTGGAGGAGAGATTCTCTGCAGCTGGTATGTTTGGTTCTTGGAAGATACGATCCTGAGGAGATGCAAGATTCCTGAGAACGTAAGGCAAAAACATTACTTTTACTACTTTTATTCTACATGTAGACAGGGGGTAAGTCACGATCAACAGGCAAATTGCCTCACCTCAGCACTGAGTACAGGCTGTATAAAAAGATGCAGGATTTAGGATGCTCACTCATGTATGAGATAAAATGTTTGTTACAACTATCTCTGTTTGGACACTGAACTTAAGCACAACATCTGCAGACTCTACAGCAACATTAGCATAACCTTTTTGTTCTTGTCCAAGAAGCCCACCTTTGTGTCTGGGTTAAGGTGTCTGTAACCTCCGGGGTTAACGGTTCGACAACCAGTGTTTGTGAAGTGGTCACCATATCACTGACACTGTGGATCTGTGGCTGGCTTCCCCCTTCTGGGTTCTCTGCTCCTGTTTGAGGTTCTCCTGTCATCTCCAAACTGGGCTGGGAAAGAGCTGAACTATACATAGACTCCCCTAAGGGACGGCTGGTGTCAAAGCACTCAGGGAGAATGATGATATAATCCTCTGATGAAGCAGAGGAGCCTTGACTTTGGATATCATCTTTATCATCAACTTCTTCATCAGAATTGCCAGTATCGCTGCAGGGGCCTGCTCTCTCACCAGGTAGTGGTAGGTCCCCTAACAGGAGAAAGAAAGAGAGAAGGGAAGTGGAGTATTAACAATTGCCCATTTTGTATGAATAACACAAGGTCAGTATTGGCCTGGAAATAATCACCAAGTATCTGAGAACAACTAAACCTTTGCTGCTGGTGTCAGTGGTGTCATTTACTTTGTCTGTAGTGTGAAAGACTAACAGATCTTACTGTTAAGCCTGTGCAGATATGCTGCTGCTATCAATGCTTACAACAAAAACAGGAGTAAGAGCTACACTGAAAACTTAAACAGCAGTTTCCAGCTCCAGAATCCCATCACAAACACTTCAAAGCACTGACTTCAAGCACAGGTACAAAGTACAGAAGCACCAGCCGTGCTTACACACCAGCACTTATTTGAGTCCCTGACTGGAAGCTGTGTCTCAATTTCACTGGGTTTTTTAAGCAGCAGTTAAACCAGCAGCTTGTTCTAAGCACTGACCCCCACCTCCTGATGTCCTAGAACAGTGTCAGATGGTTTTAGACCTCATTTTCTTTTTTGTTTGGCCCTTTTATCAGCTGTATCTCGAATTCAAACCCATTGTACTCACCGTGGCCATTTCCTGTCACTGCCTCTGACTGATGAATCTTTGCTTCCTTTTTGAAAGTTCTGGTCTTAGAAGACTCTTCATTTATTGCATTACAGCTGAAGGTGTCTTGCAGCATTTGTGAAGAGTCTGATAAACCAAGCAGGGAAAACAAAGCACTATCACCACCTGCACTGCAGGGCCATCTGTGGCCAACGGCTGACTGCACAAAGTAAAGCCCCAGAAGGCAGCTGAGGCAGAACTTACTCTGGAGGACTTTCTTCTTTTGGGGGGGCTTGTGGTCAGGTGCAGCATCCAGGGTTAGGGAACGAATGACCGTTTCACAGACAAACTGAGTCCCACTCATGTCTTCTTCCCCTTCCTCCTGATTCAAGGGATGTTCAGCTTTTGCTTTCACTAGACAAGCATCTGCAGGAAAGCAGGCTTCCCTCACTGCTTCCAAAGGGAAACAGCAGATTATTCCAGTACCACTTCAAGGAAATGCTGAGTGCAAGAACGATTTTTTAGCTCACCAAGGCTAACACTGACTGTGTTCATGCTTTTCAAAAATGGAAAGATTCTGGAATTGAGTTCAAATTGAATATGGAAGTGATTGAGAAGCACGGGGCTGCACTCAGCATGTTTGAGTACAGTCTGCTCTATGAAGGGCAAACTCTTCATTCTCCCAACAACTCTAGTGGTTACACAAACAAAGAGAAGCATTTGTATTTCCAAATTGTGTATGTATCATGCTCCAACCTCTACAATCAGAGAGCAGCATCAGACCACACGTTTATGAGGCAAACAACTGCTTTGGTTTTCCACAGCAGACAGGAGTTGGAGTTCTTTTTAGCCACTGTCTGCTGACTGCACACAAGTGACAACATCCTCCTTCCCTCACCCCCAAGCTCCCCGTGCTGCTGCTTACCAGGCACTGGTTTAAATCCACTCCCCTCGTTCTCCTCCTCTATCTGACCTAAGCCAGGTTTCTCCACCAAGGGGCTATCATGTGGCAAAGGGGACATGCAGGGAGTCATGTCTGAAAAACAAAAGTAGCAAAGGGAGTAGGAACCTTCCTTCCTCCAGGAGGCAACCTTGCAAGAAGTTATTCTTTTTTAAGGGATATTCTTCCAAGACAGAAGAACCCCAGTTATCTTACACAAGATCAGTTAGTGAAGTTAACCACTAACTTTGCATTACACTGGCACTGGCTGAGCAAAGAAAATGCAGCCTTCAAGCTCTGGAATCTTATGGTCTTGGGAATGTGAAGCTGAAGCACAGCTGCGTGTGCTGGACAGCACAGAGCCTATGAGAACCTTACCAACAGGAGTATTGTGCGGCACTCGCTCCAGCTCCTGCACAATGTTAATGTCCAACAGCTCAAAGGACAGCAAGTCCTGCGAAAAGAAACACCAGAGCTTTCATCAGCAAACCCTGAAAGGAAATCCTACACTGTACTTCCAGCAGGAAATCCCACTAACTTCCAAAGAGCTCACTTTGTTACTCGGATTGACCTCAGACAGGGCAGTTTTCCCATAACATACATCCACATCACAGAATACGGTGCACAAATTAGGGGAGCAAGAGGCCCCTCATTTGTCAGGGGCCAGAGAAAGACCCCACTGACTCATTTTGAGAACCTCAGCCTGTCCCTCCCACACAGTGACAGTCCCAGATACCAATCTGAAAGTAGTTCTGCGACATCAAATGCAATATATGCTTCCTGAAAATACAGTGGCTCTTCTAGAGCTCAGAAGGTTTTTGTTCTTACAGATATTTATACACCCAGAGATCAAGCCCAAGGTGCTTTGCTTTATATTTAATGTGGATTTTAGCACTTTACCTGTGCAGTGAGGAGGTCAACAGATGGGATATAAAATTCTCTCTCACTTGGCAGATTTTTGACCTTTAAAGGCATAGTTGGCAGAGGTATTTCAACCTGCTCCATGATTTCACCCATCGCTTGAACACCTGCTTCTGTCTTAAAGGAAACATCCTGCAAAAGTAAGACACCAATGATGTCCCAGAAGCCCCTCATGCAGCAAATGAAACAGTTACATGAAATGTAAAGCCTGAATTTTGTGTGGAAGAACACAAGGTATTTAACTCATTTTAGAGCCAAAAGGACAAGACCTAACATAAAGGGAAATCCTGCACTGTTTCAGTTCTGTCAAAGAACTAGACAAATAGCTGCAACAGACTGATAACTAACCCCATGCCTGTCGAAAAGAACTTACATATGTAATAGAAGTTCTGCTTCTGTTCTATTAAAGACACAAGTTAGAAGCAAACAGCTAAGAGAACCCCCTGGAAACCAATACAGCTTGGGACACTGTGCCACTGCACTGAACAAGATGCACTGCTCCTTCTCCTGGACAGTTCAGAAGTGCCCCAAACACTGGATGAGCTACTTGCCTTTTTGGTGCTAGAAGCTTCATTCTTCTGGCAGGAGTCAGAATCCTTCCCATTGCTTTCTAGACATTCAGCAGCAGGGGAGGGATCCACAACAATACTGCACCAGATCCTGGGCCCAAACTGTTCCCCTCTGTGTGACAGTCTCCAGTGAGACGTGTAAGTTCCTTCTATATTAGGAGCTACGAACTCAACTGAAACAGTTCCTACTTGTCCCGAGGGAAGGGATGGCACCAACACATCTTTTTTTTCAGAAGATGCCAAGGTCAGGTTTCCCCACATAAGTTTCAGCTGAAATACACAACAGGAAGAGCAAGTTAACTTCACAAGCTTCTCTACACACTGGGTTAGGAAGGAGCACCCAAAGCTCCCCTTCTGAAAGGCCTTGCAGGTACTGGCATGGAGAAGAGAGGCTGCTAGTAAACATTCTCACATGAGTGAATCACCACAGCCCCATGTTCCACCAAGAATGCCCTCACCTCACAGAAGACAGGCTTTTTGAAGTCAGAAAAGCAGCACATGTTATAAACAAGGTTGAACAGTAACATAACAGCACTGGAAGACATGTTCAGCAACGTTAATTTCAATTGCTTTCCTTCTGTAGTCTGCAGTTGTAAAGAGTACCCAGACAGCTTTTTGTCCCAGAGTTCCCAGCTTGTTTATTAACAGGCCAAATGAAATCCTGAACAGGTTCTGACACAGAATTCAAATTCCTAATTCATACAAATACTATCTTCAAGAACTAGTTTAGTGTGCAAAGGCAATAGCAAAGGCAGGATACCTTCGTGTCTGAGCTCCATTCCACACTGCCAGTATTCTTCATTTGCCAGTGCTTGATAAACTTGGTTCCCGGTTTCATGTGAGTCCCATCTGGCAAGTTCTCATCCACAAATACTGCACTTAGTGTTGGGACAACTGCTTGGAAGGGCTGAGTAGGGCTCCTGGGATTGGGAGAGCAAACAAACAGACAATACATCAAAACCCCACCAAAACTGAGCAAACCATTCAGCTATTGCACCGGCTAAGCCCAGAGGAGGCCATTTAGCTCGATTCCTTCTGCTGCCTCTAGAAGTGCTGCAAAATTCTCATGTTTCAGCTGCTGTCTCATCTGAAGTCTAAACAGTTTTACAGCTGCACATTCATAAAACCAAAGGGGATGGAAAATGCAAAGGCTTCTCATGAGCCTCAGCCTAAGATCACAGAAAAAGAAGCCAAGATTACTGCACATGAGCACACATCATGTACTTGACTTCACGCAAAGGCAATATAGCAGGAAGACAGACTTCACACACGCCTGGGTATACATTTATTCCCAGGCACTCCTCTTGCTCCTAAGTCTGTATCAATATGCACACTTCTGGTAATAACCATCAGTTGGGTTTTTTCTTCTCCTACTCTCCTCCCAGGTAGAGCCAGTAAGAACACTCCTCCTTGCCAATTCCACTGAGACAAAAGTCTCACAGGGTCTACACAAAAGGTCAGCTCAGCTAAGAACATCTCTTACAGGAAGGTGCTGGGTTGGAGGCTCTCGGGTTTCAGAGCTGGTGAGCCACTCGTTTCCAGGCCATGGACAGAGCTCCATAGGTGAATTTTCCTGTGCAGTTTGAGCTGCTTTTTCAGCTCCCGGACCTCTGCTTTTCGCTGTTTCTTCTCTGCTCGTAATCTTTGCTTTTCTGCCTTCAGAAATCTTTTGTCCATCTGTTTCTGGAGCCTGCAGAGAGAATAAGCCACCTCGTTACAATACATTAAGCTGATTAGAATTCACCTCTAGACAACACAGCTTTAGTCTCCAAGGGAACACTTCAGGAAATGCCTCATGTTTCTAGACTGGATACCAAATGATTTTAAAAAAACATCTTCATAGTTGCTTGTGAAGATATTTTGAATGGCTTCCGCGAAAGAACAAACTTAAAGGCAGATAAAAGCAAGCTCAAAGGAAAAGCAAGCTCTCAAAGTTCACTGCCCACCTCTGGCAACATTCTGTCTTTTCTACTTTGTTCTTAACAATGCTGTAAGATTCACGACTTAGGCCATTTATAAGTATACAGCTAGTTTTAGCTACTCACAATAAAGTCCTAGTACCATTTCCATTTCTTGTTATCACTAAACCTACACCAAAAGCTGACTGTCAACCCCACTTTGCTATCAAGATAATCCTGTCAGGTATGGAGAGGTGCCAGCACTTACCTAACTTGCTCCAGAGTAGCAGGCAGGCGAGGGGAGAACTCTGCAAGACTGTAACTCTCGGCAACACATAGCACAGGTCTTCGCAGCTTCAGCAAGACATGATTAGGATCATGGGCATATGTTCCTGCTTCACACTGTTCACAGATATTGTAGGCTGGGCAAAGGCTGCAAGGCAGAAGATGCAGAAGGTTACCAAGAAGCAAAGAATTAATGCACAGAAAAAGACACTGAAGGATAATCAAGCCTTAAATTTCTGCAGAGAAACAACTCTGTCTCATGCTACCCTTGGAAGCAGAGCCCGAGGGAAACAGAAGCTGGTTTTCTCACTTATACATCAATATTTGGAGCAATCTGGAACATATAGATCTCTCTTCCTGGCAGAACTGCAACATAGTTCCCACTTCCTTCTCGAATACACATTGGAAGAAAAAAAAAAAAAAAAAAAAAAAAATGGAAAAAAAAAAAAAAAAAAAAAAAAAAAAGAAAAAAGAAAAATCAATGCTTCCTTTAGCACAAGTGACTAAACAATTGTTGCTATAAAGGATAAAACATTATACTGACATCCAATGCCAGAAACAGCACGATACTTCTGAAAACTGAGAGGATAAACCAACTGAAGCATTCAGGGATGCAAAGCAGATTGGTCCTGCAGGACTGGTGAAAAACAGACTGGCATTTCCTGCCAGCAAGAAAAACAAACAGCCAAAGAAAAAAAAATCCTGACACTGCTGCTGCCTAGTCCCAAAGCGCTGACCTCGACAGCAACCGTCTCAGTCAAATAAAAAGCTCACTTCTGACACCTCACTTAAGGCACTTGTCAGAACCTATTTCATATTATTAAAGTGACAGTGAGATCATTAGAGAGAGGCATGACCTGCCTTAGCCTCACTGACTGACAGAACTAACAGGCTGTTGTAAACTGGCGGATGCAAGTTTGGCCTTTTTTGTGTTTGCTTTTCTGTTTAGTTAACTGAACAGAACATCTTCCTTTGCACGTTATATGCAAGAAAAGGTAATAATGAGGTTTGAGAATATAGCAAGTGTACTAAAGTTCTCCTACTTTAACAATCACATTCTCAAAACAGTATTAATCTTGTTCTTATGCAGATACAGTCTAGTAACCACAGAGCACATGAGCTCTTTGAGACACATATTACATGTTCTGAGAGGTACAGCACGCTGCAGCTTAGAAATCTGCAAGTCTACACCACCAAGACTGCTTCTCAGACTCAGTCCCATGCCAGGTTTCCCACACTCCCTCCTCTACTCATGTTCTACCTGCACTGGTAACGAACTCCGACGATCCGGGCCTGGCAGCTGCAGCAGGAGATGAGCCAGTCACACTGGCTGCCATCCCCTGGCTGGCTCTCTGACACTGCAGGTTCTGCTGGAATAGTGCTCTCAGGAAAATCCGGAGGCTGATTCTGCTGAGCAAGCTTCTCGTATAGCTTCTGCTCCAGCTTCTCAACAGTTTCCTTAACTACCTGTTCCCTAAACTGGAGACAAAGTAGTCAGGGATGAGACTCACCTATGCAGTTTCAAAAGTTAATGTTGTCCCAAGTCTGCCAATACATAAACCATAAAGCAGTTCAGAATCCACTTCCCATCCCCCTCCAGCACATTCCACATGAATTTTAACAAGCATCACATTCTTCAAAGGGGATCTGTGTTTTAAAAACACCAGCCCAGAGCTTTTAACAAGACTAATTCAGAAATCCTATACTCATGCTTACAGCATCCAGGTTCTTCCATAGCTTCACACAAAGGGAAGGAAACCAACTGCTGAGACATTAACCCAACTCCCAACAGACCCCTCTGGAGTCACCAGCATTAACTTTGGTCCAGCAGGGATGTTTTAAATACAGCCACTAAGGCCCCACCTTTAGTTTGTATAAGAAGGTGGCAAAGGAAGGAGACTGGGGAAAAAGCTGAAACAAAAATGCACATGTTACTGTATACTGTACCTTTTAGTTTCAAGGACTCACTAGCTAATTTATTCTAAGCATTCACATCTGTGTCTCAGTGATGTTTATTAGTTGTCCAAAGTTAACACCCACAACTTACTAACCTATAGGTTATATTCAGTGGTCTCCTGAAAGTATTTTCTTAAATTAAACAATCAGGATAAGCAAGGTCATCAAAAGCTCTGCTCCAAGTCCAGGAAACTGAGTATCACCCTACTGAAACTGGTCAAACCAGAGCCTCCAACAGCAACACTATAGCTCATGCTCTCTCTCATCACAAGTGAAGCTCCTACAACTACCAGGAGCACAACAAGGATTCTATCACAAGAGCTACTTAAACCTACACTCAAACCCATCAAGTGCATAAACCAAACAATCCACTTTACACAGTAAGTGGCACATATCAAACTCTTTTTAAGGTAACAGCTACACTGTACAGCCAGCCATCTACCTTCCATTTATCACCACAAAAGCAGAAGGATTAAATGCCTAAATGTCCTTTAAGATTCCTAGTCATGAGTACTGACAGCAAGTGTGATCAGGTGAATAGAGTTTGGCATTACAGGGATCTTTTCCACCCACAGCCTCTTATGTATTCCTTTAAGAATACTAAATTCAGGAGAAAATACACTTACTGTTTCCAGGTAGCTAGTAAACCATTCTGGAGGTTTTTCATTTGTTCTTCCTATTCTAGTGTGATTTAACTTTTGCTGGGGAAAGAAAACCCACAAAAATAAGTCACCAACCTTAAGTATGCAAAGCTGCAAAACCCCTCACCCCAGCACGTCAAACACTTGCAACAGCTTTCAAGTAGCTTCACAAAAAGATCTCAAGTTATTTGGAAAACTGTAGTAAAGCAACACAACTCCCCTGACATTCTCCTGAAAGAGTTTTGCATAGTTAGCATTTAAGTGTAATTCTGCATCAAAGCCAAAGAAACCAAGTCAACCAGAAGTTACCAGATGTCAATCAGGGCTTCAGGAGACCAACTGCTTTGTTTATCAGAATACTTAAGAATGGTCAACATGAAAGAATCTCTATTTCTAAATGCAGCATCAAAGTTTCTTCTTGAAGATGTTCAACCACTTTTACAAGCTACAATGGGTGCAGGTAGCTGAAAATGAAGACCAGTGGCTGAACTCAGAGGTTTCATGCCTGGGTGAAGATGACAATCGTCTCTAAAGCAAGTTACACTTGGGAATTCTTTGTCTTAATGCACACATAATCCAGCTCTGCCTCCTACCTGAGTTGCCAGCTCCTGTTCACTTTTTAAGTCTTCCTCTAACCCCTGAGCTAGCACAGAATAGTGCAAAGGAAGGTTCTTCTCAGCTTTAGGAGGTGCCAACTTTCCTGCTCCAGTTTTTTCATGTGGTTGCGAAGAACAAGAATATGAAGCTTCTTTCAAAGAAGAGTTTTCTTCATACACATTCATCTGAAGTTGATTTCCTTGTTTAACTGCAATCTAAATCAACAGTACAGAAAGCCACCAGATTTAGTGCACTTACAAGCAACTTACAAAACCCTGTAAAATCCAGCACTACCTTACACTGCAGAGGTGGGTGAAAGTCACCCAAACCAAAGGAACACCCAGTGAAATGCCCAGGCCCAATCAGCTGAGGTGTGATGGTCTGTTCTGCCTTTCTTAAAGGTTACCAATAAGCTTATTAAGAAGTTGATTATAAGCAAAAGGATGCAGATATTCTGCAGGGATCTTTCTATAATAAAGCTGCTCAGCTGAGCAGTAAACAACAGACATTCTGCCCAGGAACTTACAGCAAGTTTTAATTTATGCTTATTTTGAAATTATTAGATTTGAAAGACCATGAGCAAAGTGCTGAAAGCACTACTATAGCACAGCTGAAATTTAAAGGAAAGCAACCTTTCTGTCTAGGTAAAATTAACCAACTCCAACTGCAGAAGGATGAATATATCGGAAACTAAAAACCAGAGTCAAAAAGAGCATTTACCTTCAGAGCTTCTTCGTATTCCTCTAAAGAAAAAGGGAAAGAAGTGTGAATTTTCCCTGTCTCAAGCAGCAGATGCAAGTTTAGCACACAGTATTTAGGGACCCCTACATTAAGGAGCATCTCCCATACCTTTTGTAAATTCTCTTACTAGCACTACTGAAAGTTGTACATACAGCAACAAGCAAACATGTTCTAACAGCCAAGACACTTAACATTGCATTAATTCAATCATTTCCAATTTGTTCCTATGGATTGAAACCTCTTTCCTTCAGGAAGGATTTGACGCCCAAGCACACACAAAATCCAGAAATCAACGAGGAAGCCTTCCCAACTGCTTCTCCAGAAACATGAACAGCTGGGGTCTGGTTACCAATGTCACTTCAGTAAAGTAGCAGCTCACCTTTGCTGTTCACAGAGACCTGCAAGAGAAATAACAGTAACAGCCACTGAGGTATTTCTGCCAGTCTCTGAACATTAACATGCATTCAGAATAAATGGACTGTTTTTTTAATCTGACTGAAATCCTCACCCCTTCAGCTATTTGCCACCTTTAGTCATTCACCAACACTGCGGTGTTCTGGAGCACAGCATCTTCTTCACTAGATCTGTGCACTAAGCAAGGGCTCAGCACCTACCAGCAGCCAGAACAAGAATGATCCCATCTACTGGCAGTTAAGCTGGCCCTGGTACTGCTATACAAGTACACAGATGGGGGACCCAGTTACTTTTAATGCCCAAAAGAACAGTCGAGTGTTTCACGATTTAGATACAAGCCAAACCCATCATCTACAGGTGCTCACTTATCCATTCTGCACACAGAAGTTACTAACACAAGAAGCTATTTAATCACTACAGTATTGCATGATTCACTCTAGCAGTATTTTAGAAACATCTTTAACAGATGCATCTGTATCTTTATATAGATACAGGCTGGAAAACAAGGGGATAATCTTTCCCTGATGTGAAGATACTTCCAGCAACACATAGCTCCCATCTCTGCAATTTAGTAGAGCTACAAACCAAGTAATGGAACACAGAGTTCACAAAAGTCACATTCTGTCTGAGAGCTACGTTCTTTAGATAACCAGAAAGAACACGAAAGGGTGAGGTTATGTCAAGCAGGAAGTTACTCAACAAACACAACCAGAAGTAACCAATTTGTTCTGAGTCAGTAATCTGCTTGGAGATTACAGCAGCGGATTTGAGTGCACCAGATCACTGAGCTGAGCATATGCTCATGACGGGGAACCTACATTTTCCAGAGGCAGGAGCACAGCCTGCAGAGACAGGGCTTTCCCATGGCTGTAAGCACAGCTGCAACTACTTGATTCTCCTCAAACGGGAGAGGAGAGTTCCCCAACAGAAGCATCTCTCCCCCAGAGCACACCGAATCACTGCCTCTTTCTATGGGGTGGAAAAAAGAAAGGTAGTAGCTTCTAAAACGTATTTCAAAGTAAGCCTGCTCCATTATGAGTGAAACCACAAGACTAGCAGCTGTTTTCTTATCAAAGGGGCAAAACACCCCACCTCTGATGCATAAGATACATTCCTGAAGGACCCACTACAAAATAGGAGGAGGCAGGAAGGTTCACACCAGTCACATCTTGGCAGACCTGCTGGGAGGGTGGAGTGGCAGGTGTTTTACCTCATCATTGTCCTCATCAATGTACTTGATCTGAATGTTGTCCAGGTCAAATGAAACTTTAACCTGGAGGAAAAAGCAGGACAAAACCAGAGTGAGACACAACGAGACAGGACTGCAGATGTTCTCAGTTAATCATGATTAATGCTTTAACCCTTCCAGACCTCCCTGCAGTTTCTCTGTTGAAATAAATGCTGTCCCACAAAACCCACCCTGGGGCTGAACCACTCCCCCCAACGCCTCCAACCTGGACTAACTTCTAGAATGAAAAAGCTTCATTTCTTTCATGATTCCCCTTTACCAGTTAATGTTTACCCCAAAATAAACAATAACAACCTTCCCATTCCAAGAGGGCAAGAACAGGGTTAGGAACTCGGTCATGCCAAACATGCCTAAAGCCAACAATCCCCAAAGCTTAACTTTTACCTTAGAAAGCACCAGGAGGGCAGCTCACAGGTAAGCAGTCTCAAAGGAGCCATAAACAAAAGCACACTTTCCCCACACACTTCCCCCCACCTGGTACCATTTGGGTATCATTTACCTCCCAGGCTGGACTCTCCTCAGCAGAAACCCTGATGCATTTGAGACCTGTTCTGCTAGCCTGGGCCTCACATGGGGGTGAATGAGCACACCAGCAGCCTCAGAAGGCCACGGGTGGTTGGGACTTACATAGCACTTCAAGAGCACAACGTCAAAGCTCCATATGTTCTGCAAGGAATGTGCTACACGCAGGTTCTTCCAGTGATCCATCCCCAGTTAATTTGAGAGTGCAGCAAGAGAACCAACTCAGCATGTCAAGAAACAACCCTGGTCTGTATCTACATTGCCCAATGCCATAGACTGTTCCCCTGAGACTCAAAGCAGAACCAGGGATCAGGTTATCCCTCAAACAACAGACACGTTCAGTAACATATTAAAACATGGGAAGCAGTTTAACTGCTATTACCTTGAAAGAGTAATTCACACAGCAAAGTGCAGAGACCCCGCGAGGTACCACCTTGGTTAGAGAGGCACTACTGCCGTGGAACACCACAGCTTGAACGAACACACCCTCAATGTGAAGAGCAACTCTCTGCTCACAGAGCAATCCGCAAGCAGGGTTCTGACCAGCTCAGCCACTCCTGCAGGGTCTATCTGCCAGAACATATTTAAGCCTGAACTGGCACCTCTTCTAGAAGGGTGAAATACAACAAGTGACGATGATGCAGCTCAAAGTTTGAGTAATTCACAACACAAGAGCCTCCTACGAGGTTCTGCAGCGTATTGGCAAAATAAAAAGAACTGAGAGAGAGTAAAACACTGCCGAGATCTCTCAAGATGCAACTTTCCAATCGCTGCAGCTTCGTTATAACCAAGGGAATGCTTATTACACAATCCCAGCCGCAGCCAGTACAGGCCTTTTCACTAAGGAACACCAGAAATACAACCAAAGCTCTTCAAGATACCAAATGCATGACAGAGACCTCCGTAAGCAACCCACCCGCTAACAGTTATTCCCAGATTAGCACACACGAGGCTCCAGGAAGCGAGAAACCAAACCTGCAGCAGTGACTCGGCCCCAGAGAGCAAAGACAACCCTCCGGGAAGTTACAGAAGAGCGTTATTCCCGCAGATCTACTTCCTGGGTGGAAGAACGGGAGGTATGAAAACTAAACTGCCCTTTACAGGGGTACAATGCCACGTAAGTGTGGAACAGAGCAAAGCACACGGCTAAAGCCACCGCTCGCAGGGGAAAACCCAGCGACCCAGAAAGAGCTTAACCCAAGCCCGGCTTCCCAAAACACTCCGAGTACGGACAGACACCAAAGTTCCTGTTAACACCAGGAGAAATACTGCGGCCGCGGCAGAGTCACCCCGGCTGTAACAGCCT